GAAATGATGTGGAGATTCATATAGACAACCCAACTTATTTGTGACTAATGCCGCGTTGTTGTTGTTGTTTGTTTGTTTGTTTGTTTTCTGTAGTCTTTAGCTTGAAAGGATCTGGTTTCTTACCTAAAGCTTCAAATGTTAAAGTCATACTCAATGCTGGCCAAAGAGTTACTTTCTTGAGACCCAATGGATATTTCTCATTGTATCCTTCCTACGTTGACGACTCAATGTCTTAAGTTGGTACTTCAGCTTTCATTACCTTAGGTTATGTATACTGATATGAGTTTTGTGCTTCCTCAACTGCATATTTACTGCTGCTCCACACTCCAAAAAAAAAAACCATTCATATAATGTGTTTTCACTGTTTTTATGTGTTGTTTTCTTGTATGATACAATAACAACAACAAGAACAAACAAATATGCCTCAGTCCCAGATAAGTTGGGTTGTGAGTGGTTCATCTGAATTCTACTAAGTTTGCGGGATAACATGAAAACTAGAATGCTACTCCTCTTTGCAAAGGCTATGCGAAGGGAATGTTATTCTATGAATGCAATTCCTTAACCTTAGCAATAGTCATAATGTTTCAGCAGGGACACATCTTATTGAGGTGTCTGCAATTGGCTACTTCTTTTCTCCGGTGAGCTTCTCTACTATGATATGTTTGATTCTTCACCAATTTTCTAGGACAAAGATTTATATGCTTAATGTATCTTTCGTGATGTCAGGTCCGAGTTGATGTCAGTGCCAGAAATCCAGGTAAGGTTCAAGCAGCATTAACCGAGAACAGGAGGAGTTTGATTGAATTGATTTTGGAGCCATTGAGTGAGGAGCAGTATTATGAGGTCGGACTTTGATCTCCTAGCTTTCCGTTTCATTTCGCCCTTCTTTCTCTAAACTACTGTGTGAATATCCCTTGCAGTTAAAGGAACCTTTCTCCATTATGTCTCTGGTGAAAAGTCCAATTGGCCTGATGTTCGGATTTATGCTGTTTGTAATGTTTGTGATGCCAAAATTAGCAGAAAATGTTGGTGAGTACTCTTGTGCTCTGTGTTTTAACCAAAATGAAGTTGCTATCACATGCTATAGGACGGTAGTTCCATAACGTTGCTCCAATTTAACGTCTCTGTAATGCAAGAGTTTTGTGCTTTGGGATGACTGCACTAAATATGTGGTTCACTAAGGATTAGTATCCAATGGTACCAACGTGATGTATGTACATTTTTGCATCAATCTCTAATTTTCTTCATCGAATTGGACCATGAATATCGGCACCAAATATATATGTGCTTCACTAGGGTGGCAAAATTCTCAAAGTAAGAAGCATCATCTGTTAATCCTTATATCTGAGTGAACGCGAACTTCACTGTCTCCTAACGCTTAATTACTATGCACACTATTCTGTCTGAAGATTATCGACTTTTCCTGAATCTGTTTTCTTATATATATTGATGGATATCTATGTTACAGTATGTTACGATGACTAAATGTTATATGCATTCACACATTCCCTCACATACATAAATAAATACAGATGCCCCTACACATACAAAAACAATATTTCTCAACTGGATGCTTGTGGTTGTCTTTTTTGCCTATCATAACGTCTCAATTGTATCTGCGGATATGTGTTTCAAGTCCTATATGTGTCAGTGTTTATGTATATGATCTAATAGAATAATACGTCTGGTATTTTATCTACAAAATTACGAGAAAATTTGTTAAGCTAGAGCCCTTGAATTGCATCATTAGTGGCTCCATGCAATCTCAAAATCATTTAGATTTTGGAACTTGACGTTGATTAAGTGTACTCTTGCTTACATTTCTGCAAGTTACTTGACCTTTAGATTCTCTATTTAATTGTGATGAAACAGACATTATACATAAAATAACTCGCGCTACTGTGCTGATTTTCATGTGTGACAGATCCTGAAGAAATAAGACGAACACAAGAGGAAATCTTGAGAAACCAAGCCAGTCTTTCAAGCTTATTACCTGGGGCTCAAAGCAGCAACTAGATATTGGATTTCACCTGCTATAAAGGGAAATCCTTCATGGCCATTCCATGAAAAAGCTGAATTCTTCGTAAACTCAGTTCCAACGATCCTTATCAAGGTTTTTGTTTTAAAGTCAATGAGTACCATCATTAGTTCATTTATCACTTGCAAAAATCCTACGTTTCGTTTTGGTTAAAGTTACTAGGCCTCTGGTATCAGTTTAATGTTTTATGCATCGATCGGTTGTCCTAAGAATTACTATTTCATATTGAATTCCCTGTATTCGAATTAGTGTTGCCATTCTTGATCACTGTATATGCTTGTGTTATACAAGTTTATTAGAACCATCAGTTAACAGTTGTAAGGAAAAAAAGGAAATTCAGAAGAGAGTTTGGAAGTAAGTTGCCAAGGTAATACTCTTTCTAGTATTTTAGTTTTGTTCTAAACAAACTGTTGGGGGTCGTATGGTAGCTCGTTAAATATAAATCATGGATGAGTAATATCATGTTTGATAGCATTCTGTGGTTATGTAGTATAAAATTCAACACACAATATTTTATACAGGATAGAAGATAAAATAACTAAATGTACATAAATTCTCTCATAATTAATTTATGTATCAACTACTACTAATACCTATATAACTCTAACCAACTACCAACCGGCCTCTCAGTGTCTACATAACTAAGCATTGCATGGAGAAACATTTGATAGCACGTTAAATTTGTATATGAAGTACATATTACATATATCATCAATGGTTACGGTGGGATAGATAAGATCCCTCATACTTAACCAAGAGGTTCTGAGTCTATTTTAATTTTGAGTATATATAATTTTGAATTCATAATATCATAAGAGTGAGGAGAACAACAATCATATATATATATATATATATATATATATAAAAGAGAACCTTAGACCTGTCTATGTGGTGCCACCACAAATAAAAATTTCCTTTTAATTTATTTATTTCCAAAACTAGTCTTTCCCCTTTCATTAAAAGTTGTGACATTTATGAAAAGTTGTGACTTTAATGAAGAGTTACGATTTTTATGAAAAGTTGTGACTTTTATGAAAAATTATAACTTTAATGAAGAGTTGCGACTTTTATGAAAATTTGTGACTTTTATGAAAGGTTGTGACCTTTCCGAGGGTTGCAACTTTTCCAAATAGTTGTAACCTTTATGATAAGACACAATAAATATTTGTTCACACTACCCTTTGTTGTCTATATATAGAGGGATTTCCTCTCATTTTAAAACAACGAAAATTTTGAACCTCTTCTTCTTCACAATTACATATTTGTGTACTTTGCTCATATTGAGTGGCTCACTGACACCATTGCTTATGTTATAGATTTTTGTATGTATTTTTACAGCCATTAATTTATGCTTATGTTATTAAGGATAAATGATAAGATGTAATAATTTTCATTGTAAGATAATATAGTTTTTAGTTTTAATGACTGATAGGTTTTAAGTATTATTTTATAAATTTCGTGATATTAAATTCCCGCGGGTAATTTTACTAGTAAGAATATCAAGTAGAATCCACAAAATTTAAATCTTAAATTCGTCTCTAATTGTGCTAGAATCCATAAAATTTAAATTTTGAATTTATCTCTGACTGTACTAATATGAAATACAAAGGTTGAGCTTCAAGATTTTTTTTCTTCTGTGTTTCCATAACATATTCTGGAAGAGAAAATGCTGAAGCAGGAAACCGAAAGTAAAAAAATAAGATAGAGAATCAAAGACATTAAAAAAAAAAAAAAAAGTGATCGATAAGCATTTATATATAGTTAGGTGCTAAGAATAAATCTGTGGAAGAATATCATTATCCATAGAAACAGAAAAAGGCTCCTTAGAAGATAGAAGTGAATCTTATTCCAAATGATAAATCTTACTACATGTTACTGACGTTTGCACTATTACCTCATACAAATTTGCAACAACTAGGCTTGTGTTAATGCACTACAATTTATCCATTTTAATAATAATAATAATAATAATAATAATAATAATATTAATAAGTAGGGTGTTCTCGGTATGGATAAAAATCAATTCAAATAGAAAAATCGAATCAAACCGATAAAATAAACTGATTTTATTGTGAGAATATTTGTCTTAGTGGTTCATTATACGAGTGTTTATGTTTGTGGGACTGAAAATGTCATCGTCTTGAAAATGTCATTGTCTCTTCCTTCTATGCCAAAATAGTGAATTTTGAAACTTTCAATGATCGAAAGTTCTATAATGTCAACCATTCGAACTATTTTTCATTTTGAATGGAGTTTTGTCACATTTTCACGTTTTGAATGAATTGTTTCTTTTATTTTTGTCTATGGTTAATAACCAAATAACCGAACTACAACCGATAATAACCAAACCGATTAATGTATATTATATTTGGTTTGGTTTGGTTTGATTTTGATAATTTTAAAACCGATTCACCAAGGAATCGGGGCTTAGAGCTATGAGCTACAACACATACGCAAGAAGGAAGAATGCCTTAATTAATGATCCAGGCGGTCCGGGGGACCACCACGACTCCTCTCTTCTCGAGAATCCACTGGAGTCAGATCAATAGGGGAGTTCATACCAGGACTTTCAGCTATTTATTAAACTCATTTAATATCTTTCTCGCCTTATCCTGAGACCTAAAGCACAATCAACCTCTCTACCTTAAGACTTCTAACATGATCGATTTGATTTAGTTTTGATTTTCACTGATAACTGATCCAAAACCATCCCATGAACACCCCTAGTAATAACAAAATTAATCTAAATCTTCTTAGAAGTTATTTACATTGTCATATATAAAGGTGCTCATGCTGATAAGCACAAGTTAACGATATATGGATGTGAGTATGAGAACTTGATTCTTTGCTTCCAATTTAAGCAGGAATCTTATGATTAGTATTTTCCAATTACTCAAACTACCTCTATAAATACTGTAATTAATAACATAGACCAAGCAATACATATACAAAGAAACACAAACACAAGAAAACAAAAAAAATAAAAATGAACAGATCAGTACCATCAAAGTACATGGCTACTCATACAATCATGGATAGTCTCAGCAGCAAGGAATGTTACAACTCTATTAATTACAATGACGAAGATAATTACAATGTTGATCAAGCTGCATCATTTCAAAGAAAGAGTCGACACAGTAATCCCAAACCTACTTCTTTTGGCTATAATCATTGCTCCATTTTAGATTCTTCAGAAAGCGATCAAGATGATCAAGGACATGCTATGAGTCGTCAACCTCGTTCCAAAAATGATATTACATCGCTTCTAAGAATGATGATGATCAATCTCAATCAACGTGGTGGTGCTGGTGCTTCTTCTGGTGCTGGTTTTGGTCGTTCCCAACTAACGATTAACCATAATCGTCGATCTATTCCAGACTACTCAGACTCATGTACTGATGACGAAGGGGTCATAAAACACTTTAGCCATTCCCACAACTTGAACATGTACAATTTCCAACAATACTCAGAAACCAACTGCAAAGTCTGCGGGCTGCAACTTGTTGGATCGGGTTACGGTTGTCAAAGTTGTCAATTTTATCTGCATGCATCGTGCTTCGATCTTCCACAGAAGATCCAGCACGATGCACACCCTGCACACCCTATGACACTTCGTTACCCATCCTACTACAAGCATTGTGGGAAGACATGTGACGCTTGTTGTGAACACATTAAGCAAAGTTTTCTCTACTGTTGTGACCTCTGCCATTTTGATCTTCATGTCACTTGTGCCACGTTGTACAACATCGTCAAGAGAGCCGATAATACAAATGGAAAACTTCGACTTTCTTACACGTTTCCTTTTGGTGACAATATTATAGCACGATGCAACGTTTGTAACAAGAAGGTGTCTAAGGAAGGTTGGATGTATTATAGCAAGGATACTGGCCATATTGCACATATCAACTGTGCTAAGGGTAAAATTGGACCTTCTTGGATTAAAGAGAGACTTAATATGCTTAAAATTAAATAAATTAAAGAAATATCTAGCTGATCAAGTGCTTGAAAATATGTAATATAGTATAAGGGATTAATTAATATGCATGTATGCAAAATTATTAATCCTCATGTACTGTATTATTTTAGTTAAAATAAGGTTAGCTATAGAGAAAAATAACATATAGGTGTGTGGTGTGCTCTAGTAGAATTTGGTGGCCCTGTGATGAGGCATAGGTTGTCTAAGAAATAAGTGTTCTGCTTGGCATTGGTGAACCACGTAAGCAGGTTAGATGTGTGGAACAGAAGATTCGTAATATCTTCTAGTACGATTACGTTAAAGGGAAGGAGCCTAATCGAGCCCTTTTTTTATGTATATATCGACGATCTTAACTCGTCGTTGTTATTAATTAGAACTAATAATAAGATGTGTGTTTATTAAGTAAATCGCTTGGTTTATGTTAATACTTCCTCCTTCTTTTTTTACATATTTAAAAAAAATTTAATTTTCTCGAAGGGAAAAGAAAATAATATACTTATCTTTGTTGTATACTAGTAATTACCGATATTGTTAGTCCACGTGTACTAGGATTACCTCAACTCATGACAAAATTAAAACAATTAATTTACTCGTGACAAATTAAATTTCTGAGTATAGGTAAAAGTAAAAAAAATTTATCTATTTTTTATCAAGTTAAAGGGTAAAAGTATAAGTTGGAAGACCACATCGATTGACTTTGCTTTTTTTACCACATACTCACTTCATTAAAATGAAATTTAATGCTACTATTTTTCAAGAGAGGAATAGCTAATGGAAAAATTACATATATATATATACACACTTTTTTTTTTTTCATAATTCCTATTATTTCCTACCATTTCTAAAAAAAATTAAAATCCCTTATTTTGAACGCAACACAAAATATCTCGATACATAAATATTTCCACTCTCCAAACCCATATTTATTACTACCTGATTTCACTTCACAAATCTCTCCCATTTTTTATCCCTATGATCTTTTCAGTTAATTGCTCCATTACATTTATCACTTCATCCTAATTTGAATTTCTATCCAGTAAACAAATTTCAAATATGTCAATAGGTAGTTTCATCTTCTTCACTGTGTTCGTTTTTTCATCGATTTTTCTCTTTCATTATCAGATCAACAACCACTACTTCTTTGAATATTTGTGTCAACGAAACTTTTCACTTTTCAAAGTCAATTTGACTAATTTTCAAAGTTAAAATTAAATTACATTTTCTATATTTTAAGCAAAAAAATTAGATATTCAAAAATTATCCAAAAAAGTACTATAAATTGCAATTTTTTACTCTAAAAAAAAGATCATGATAATTAAAAATGGACAAGAGAGTAGTGTTTTGGTTATACAAACTGAAAAAGTTTTGGACGGAAAAACAAATATTCTATATATAGATTTGATTAATTTTGGACGATAAAATATTTCCTCCTTCATTCCCATCTAATCAATGAAGACTTAAGAAAGGAAGAATAACGTGAACATGTCTCAAATGGTTGAGAAGGTGATTTGAAAGGGTGATGTGAGTTTAGTTACCGAAGCAGTATCGATTTATTATCACAACTAATTTTTAAATAGTCTAAATCTAACATTATATTAATTTCACGGTTTTATTCTATCTTAAATTATTTATTTAGTTCATACTATTTTCAAGCAGCATGGTAATACTGCATATATATACATTGAAACTTTGATTCATAACACATTATTAAGAACTCTTTGAGAATAAAAAAAATTGTGACGTTAAACTAAACTCTCGATACATGATAAGAGAACATATAAAAATGTTACTACTCTATCGATATAGAATCTAACATTAAAAAAAATAAAATCTCAAATTGAATTCGAACTACCATACAATTATTACTTAGTATTCATATGGTAATGGAAATATCTCATTGGTTCCAAGTGTGAGGTAATATGCAGTCAATCCAATGCATATATATGGACATCTAATCATAATTTAATTTACTAATAAAATAATTATTTATTTTGTGAAACTATCAAAACCCCATTTAGTACAACATTGTCTGCAATGACCAAGTATGCCCAGATTAATGTCTCATAGATTACAAGGCCAAAATTAGTTGTAACATCCAATCTGCACAAAAAATAAAGAAAGGTGCCTATGGAAAAATCAACAGTGTCTGATATTGACACTAGTGATCAAACAAAAAACATCATGGTCGACATATATAATTTCTGTTTTTGTTTTGAATTGTAGAGACCAAGTGATGGTGGAGTTCATCAATTATGTTTTGTTCTACATGTTTAACTGATTCTGTTGATTGACAATCTGACCCAAATGTTTTTTCTAACGTTTTTTTTTTGCCTCTAAACAGTTGAGACAAAAACCTTCAGCTAAAATCTAAGAATATTGCATAGTATTTGGACAGTTTAACCAGTTTTTTTGCCTTCTAGATAAGCGAGGATGTCGTGAACAGAGTGTAATTATAAGATTAAATACTTTAATACACATCAAGATCTTGAACACAATAATCTTACGTACCTAATGCGGAAGACATCATCACAAAGAAAAACGAAAGCGTTAGTCATAAATTAATTTCTACCTCCTTGTCCTAGCTTTACGTTACCACAACCGTCAGCGATGGAATTATTTTTGAGAATATGTTATAACCCTAATAATAGGTGGAGGGCAGTGGCGGAGCCACCTTACAATGAGGGGTTCATCCAAACCCCCTTTGGCGGAAAATCATATTATTTATACATGGTTAAAATATTTTTTTAGGTATATATAGTAGATGTTGAACCCCCTTCGGCTACTTCGTGTGTCTATTTTTTCAGATTTCGAACCCCCTTATTAAAAATTCTGGATCCGCCACTGATGGAGAGATGACCAATTTATAGAGGTTAAGACTTAATCTGATATGTCCATCAAATAACCAATGTACGGACAAAATCTATTATTTATTAAATATTATTTATGATATTATTTGTGTCACAAGTAAACTTGGGCAATAAATAAGAATTATTCTTAGACAGGTCACAAAGAATTGACCTATTAAAGAAGAAATTAGTGGTCGAGTAAGTAATAAGAGTAGTAAGATTATATTTGATGAATGTAAATTATGAAAATCGTGATAGCACAAATTCGTTAATTAGCAGGGGGTAAGTTGTAATTGTTGTTGAACATATTTGAACCCTAACAGAATCACTACCAATATCTTGTACTCCATTTATGATCTGTGTGATTGTTTTTCAAATGTCTACCTCATGTCCTACCTGTAAATGAGGAGGTCAAGCTCCAAATCGAGTTTGAGTTGGAGTTTCGATTATTGAATTAGTAGGTGTTCATTTAATTCATATTTTCGTAATCGCCAAATTATTTTTTTAATTATTCATTATATAGTGGTTCCCTTGAATTAATATCAAAATCAGGTTTAGAAAAAGAAACATTTAATCAATATGTATAACTCTTTAAACGTTTTCTAGTTTTAGGTACTTCAGGCTTACTAGAACTAGCAATTTTATTACTTTGTCCAAAAAATGAGAGAGGAGTATGTCTATTATCTTTTTAGGAACCATAGTATAAAAATATATTAAATTCATTGAAATCTAATAAATTAAATACAATTTTTTTTTAAAAAAAAGAAAGATAGAATAAGTGTACCAAATATCTGCGAAAATTACCAAGTAGTATAAATCTATAATCATAAGTCGTAACCAAATATTGACACTTGAACCTTAAAAGTTTGTTCACACTTACTCCCTCTGTCCACTTTTAAATTGACACACATATTAAAAAAATAATTAATGACATAATGAGTTTACCATTTTACCCTTATTAATTATGAAGTGGATGAAAAGTTCTACAATTTTCAAAATAATTAGTCAGTTAATTGAGGATATAACAGGTAAAAATAATTTGTCCTTTGTTGATTTGTCAAAATTGACAAGTAATTAGGGAAAGAGGAAGTAAATGATTAGCAAATTGACTAGGATAGAGAGATATTGAGAGAAAATAAAAAGGAAAGAAGGTGATGAAGAGTAGGGCTACTCAAAATCGAATAAAAAAGAAAGTTATTGATTTATTGGTAATGAGTTATTAATTTAATTGTTTTGATTCTTTTTTATTATTAGGTTATCAATTCTTAAGGATTTGAGATTTTTTCTTAATGGACTAAACAATAATCCAATAATAAATTATATTTATATCATTCGATATATAAAGTCATTAACTTATGATTTAATTTCAATTTTTTATTTGTTGCAGTCTCAAGCTTTCGATTATTATATGATATGTTAGTGTTACTTTTAAGCCAAATACAATTTATCAATTCATGTTCATAATTAATTTTGTTTATTTATCAAATCTTAACTGTTAAACACTTAATGGAAGATCAATAATGTATTGGAGAATTGAAATGTGAGAAAAGTATTTTGTGATGGTGGAGTATAAGAAAGCAATAGAGAGATTGTTAATAGCAGCCGACAAAATTAAGAATGAGGCACATTCTATTTCGTGTTCCTCCTCCAACCAACACCTCCCACCTCCCTCTGGCCCCCTTACCCCCAAACTACAATCCTCTACATATACATAGCTGTATCTAACTCTTAGTATTGCTTCAAGAAAATTTCATTCACCTTGTAAATTTCCAATTTTGGAAGTTGGGTACTTGGAATCTTGAAGTTCTTTTTTGTTTGTTTGAATTGGGGTTAGCTCCATGTGGGATTCTTGAATTTTGATTTGATGAATTTCCTTCCAAGATGTTTGAGTTACAGTGAATGTAGTGGTGGAGCTGGAAGAAGTGAAATTAGGGGTGGTGAAAGTTCCAATGGTGGATTTGGGAAAGATGGGTTGTTGTGGTTTCATGATATTGGGAATTGTGGGAGTGGGGAATATTCCATGGCAATTGTGCAAGCTAATCAGGTTTTAGAGGATCAGAGCCAGATTGAGTCTGGTCCATTTGGAACTTTTGTTGGAGTCTATGATGGTCATGGTGGACCTGAAACTGCTCGTTATGTTTGTGATCACTTATTTCGACATTTCCAAGGTTTATCTTCTTTCTCTTTGTAATTTTTCCAATTTTTATCTGTTTTATTGGAAAAAAGATGTTAAATTTGCTATGTAGACAATCTACTGCGTCTCATATCGAAATTAGGATAGTCGATTTAAGTGGGGAATGTTGATTCAAGAATGAGGCAAGAGTAGCCCCAAGTCTAATTAGTATTAGGATATGTCGATTTAAGTGGGGAAGGTTGAGTCAAGAATGAGGCATGACTAGCCCCAAGTCTAATGAGTATTAGGATATGTCGATTTAAGTGAGGAAGGTTGATTCAAGAATGAGGCAAAACTAGCCCCAAGTCTAATTAGTTCAAGTCACAGGGCGGGGAGGGAGTCCTTGAGTGGATTCCGCATTAGTCCCAAGACGTTGGTTTCTAACTAGAAAGTAAATGCTTGAGCTTTAGTGAGAAGGGGGCCTTCATGTTTATTGACTTGAACAACTGACCTTTAGATGAACTTATGAGTCAAAAGGAACTTAACTAAGGGCACCTGCTCAGTTATATGAATCTTTTGTATTCCACTTTATTCGGGCCTATTTCATTCTAGAACTTTATTAAATAATTTTGTTTCTGGGAATAATCATAAGGATATGGAAGTTCCCCGTGATGTCTGGTAGCAGTTGCATTGTACTATTGAAAAAGATCAACTCTTGAGAATCCTTGTTACAAAAATTCTAACTCTTAAGGTACCTTCTCTGCAGGTTTCTTGATGAATAGGGTGTATGGATTTATTAGAGGCATTTCCTTGGGCTCTTTCTAGTGGAAGGGTTTAATTGCATAAATGGCTTAGAGTGTAAAGCGTTCCTAAATTATTTTATAGAAATTCCTGATATCTACTTTGTTAATGTGATCATGTGAAATATTATAGTGGGTTGATCTTCATTTGGCCCTTCTGCTCCATTACCATCTCTAACTCCCAAACTCCTAAAACCAGGGGGCTCAAGTTTTTCATTGATTGTTTCCTTTTTCCTCAAAATTTTTGAAACACCGAAATATGTTGGATATATTTTCTTGATAATAGAGAATCCCCGAGGGTCAATGGCACACATCATGCACTGCATTCTTAGTACTAGACCAAAGCCCTGAGGGTGAAAGAAATGTATTTAGATATTGAACATTATGAAAGGAAAACTTTGTAGTGGTTTCATGGATTTTACTCTTAATGCAGCAATATCAGCTGAAGGAAATGGTGTAGTCACAGAGGAGACAATTCAAAGGGCCTTTCTTGAGACAGAGAGAGGATTTACTTCTGTTGTTTCGGAAAATTGGCATTCTCGACCACAGCTAGCGACAGTGGGGGCATGCTGCCTGGTTGGAGCTATTTATCAGCAGACGCTCTTTGTAGCAAATCTTGGTGACTCTCGAGTAGTCCTTGGAAAGAAGGTTGGAAACACTGGGGAAATTGCTGCCATACAGCTATCAACGGAGCACAATGCCAATATTGAGTCTGTTAGGTGGGAGCTAAAAGACTTGCATCCAAATGATCCTCAAATTGTTGTTCTTAGACATGGTGTTTGGAGGGTAAAAGGAATAATTCAGGTAAGGTCAACTATATGAAAAGTTTCTTGTTATTAAATTATGAAAAAAACCTTCCAAGTTCTCCCTACATTTCCCATATTCCTATGCTTGTAGAGGATATGCATAGATGCTTTGATGTGTATCACGATCTATAATAGCAGAGTTTGATGTGAATGATGTTATTTCTATTGCCACTTGCAGTAAATAATTAAGCTTCTGTCAGCCTTCTTTTTGCTGGGGAATTACCATGTTATGTATGGCCATATGGTGTAATAATGAACTGAAGTAAACTGAATTTTGGGTAGAAAAGCAGGTTTACAAACTTTCAAGATGACATCATGTTTTAAAGAAAAATTGATACGCGTCTCGAATATCTACTGTTTCTCATCAATTTTAATATTTTATATTTTTATCGGTAGGATAAAGAATTCTTTTTTTTTTTTTCGCCGAAAGTGTCACTAGTCTATGGTTGATCAGTTTGTGGTGTATGTCATACTTTCGAATTGGAGTTCTACAATTGTTGCCTTTCATGGATAAAAATTAGAATTCATTCTCTAGTCTGCAACTTATGTCTTAATAATTGGTCTCCTAAATTGACTGCAGGTCTCAAGATCCATTGGTGATGTTTATCTTAAACACACAAGGTTTTGCAGGGAACCAATAAATGGAAAATTCAGAGTTCCTCCACCCCTTAATATGCCTATCCTGTTGGCCACTCCAACAATTTTAAAACATCCTCTACATCCAAATGACTCCTTCCTCATATTTGCTTCTGATGGTCTATGGGAGCACTTGAGCAATGAAAAAGCCGTTGAAATTGTGAAGAGTCACCCTCGTAAAGTAAGTTCTATGCACCAAACCATTATACTTTCCTGCATATTCAGTTCAATTTAAGCTAAATATGCTTCTTATGGGTAAACTATGACTTCAAATACATGTTTACTTTTGATGATATACATAATTTTATTTTATTTTTTGATAATTCAAGGATAATTTTCAGTAACTACCAAGTATGTAGAAGTCTATAAAATGAAAGCACATCAAACTACTGTAACTTAACCATCTATTAAGAGGAATACTATATTCTTCTTACACTAAAGGCAAACCACACAGAAAACCGAAGAGATAGATATATATATGCTACCCAAATCAGTAATCACACAGTGATATACATCCAGTGTACTAAATTGGACCATCCAAGAGTCAACTTCCTCATACACTCCATAAGCGCTTGTCTATACCAGCATAAGTGCCATCCTATGATCACCCTCATGATTTCTGAATCATATCTTCAGACGTTACTTTTCTTTTAGGTTTTCAAGCTCTCTGGCATTCCCCATTAGATTTCAGCAACTTGTAGATGACTTGCCTAATGTCTTTCCATTATTTATACCCTGAATATTCTCCTTAATTATTCCTTCATAATTTTATTGAAAAGTCAATCTCTTTAACACCAAATAATCAGGTTTTCGGGTGAGAAGATGCTTTCACCTTCCAAGGTCTATTCTCCTTGTGATCTCTTTCAATTTCTGCAAGTAGGTGGATGCCTCTTCGTGATGTCTTTTAAATGAAAGGCTCAGACCTTCCAAATCTAGTTTGAAATGGGATCACCGGTTCCTGCGGTGTATAGTTTATTTTTATGGTGAATGGTGAAAGAAAAAGTAACAGGAGTGTACCAAAGATATCATGCATTTTCCAAAAGAGCTCTGTAACATATGGATGATAATCAAATGTTACTTTGATCTTGGGAGTACACCAGTGATTGAAGCCACTCAAGCTGTGGCACAACCTTGAAATTCCTTTGAGTTACTCACAGTTATATCATCACTCTCCATAATAACAACCCTGTAAACTCAGTACCATGCCAAATGACATAATCCTTTTACTCTTCATGGTTCAATTTATTAATTAAGGCTTACCCTTCGAGATCCCCTCTGTGTGTGTGTGTATATATATATATATAGACTCTTTCAAAGAGATGGTTTTAGCTCGTTGTCCCTTTTGATGTATTTTCGTATGCATTCTTGAACATGAAAAACAAATCTTCTCACTTTTTCATGCTCATATTTTTCTTGCAAATACAGGGAAGTGCAAAGAGGCTTGTCAAGGCTGCTCTCCATGTAGCTGCCAAAAAAAGAGAGATGCGTTATTCTGATCTTCGAAACATTGACAAAAAGGTCCGACGTCATTTTCATGATGATATAACTGTAATTATTTTATTCTTAAACCATGACCTGATATGTAGAGGCGTTGTGCAAGATCCAACACTTTCTATTCGCAGTGCTTTAGAACACTGATTGTTGAAGGAATATATTATTTTTTACTAGTGCCTGAGGGTCTGTCACAACACCAAAATTTTCCTTGATATGCGGCTCCGGAGCAGCATCAGTGAATCAACTACGCTGTATAAGAGTGTTTTTTTTCCTTTGAAGAGGCTTATAATTTGAATTTCTCGAACCTTGTTATAGGTGGAGTTCAAGAAGAATGCTAATTCAAAAGTTTTGGATACAGTCAACCTCTATGTAACAGCCTTGTTTCATTATTAATTTATTCTGTATACTAGTTTTTGTTTCTGGATTCTGGAGTATTTTGTTAATTTCTTGTAACATTGCCGCCTGTTACAAGTGTTAAAAGGAAATGGTTCGCCACAAGAGAATGATGGCTTTTGAATTAAAAGAGGATGTTGCTGCGGTCTTATTGTTTAATTGGAAGAAATTTATTTCCCTTAGAAGAGAACAATTATTTGACCAATCAAACGAGCTCGCTTGAATTTAATCTTAGTATTTTGTCCTCATAGATTTTGTGTATATGGTAAGTCCTTTGTTGAAGAAATCATATTCTTCAAATAACACAGAGAATATGGTTTCAATTCTTTGAAATGGCGATGGAGGCTAGGCATCCGCCGTTGGTTTCAAGAACTTGGAGATGGGGGTCATTTTCTTATCTTGCAAGGTGAGCTACAGTTTGATATTGAAGACCTCTTTTCTTTAATTCATTGATAGCTTCACAATCACACACACACACACAATTCAAACCCAAACTCCTTGACTACATGTATCCCTCTTTTGGTGCTTCTGATTCCACTGTCTTATTATACTGGACAACCTCATCTAACTTTTTGTGCAGCCATTTTCCATATTAAACCAACTTTGCATTTCTTTGCCCAGGAAGTTTCCTGCCAAAAGCACCATTTGGAGGTTGGTAGGCAAGGGCAGATCCAGGAAGTGCCTTGAGTTTAACTAGCTGGAGGAGCAATGGCCAACTGCACCTGACTCTCTTGAAGCAGTAGGTTAGGTTCACTTCTCTTAATAATAAACTGATTCTAATAGATTTTCATATATATATGCAAGGTCGGAGCTGCAAGCAATCTGACCTGTTACATATACACTATATTCGGCCCTGTTGACATACATCCTTTTCTTTTACTTACAGCATTTTCTGCTCTCTTAATTTATAATCATTGTTTTCCCGATTTGGATGGCTAACAGTAACAATGGGAAGTATTAATTGTAGAACAAACTTCTCTTGACTAGCTATATACCACATCTGTGAGATTGAATGAAGACGAAAACAGAAAGTGCAATTTTCTATATACCACAGACTTACAAATTCAATGTTACAGTTTACTAGTTTTGTGAAAATTGAATGCAACTAATTTGCATGGGTCCTCTAACAAAATATAACAAAAAACTGTAAAAGCCAATGATGGCACAGAAACCTTCACATGTAGAACAAACAAATCTCTTGAAAAGATGGAACTCAGCGATGTATCAGCAAAGGCAAATAACAGAACATGAAGACAATAACTCAAAAGAAAGAATCTGCAAGAACACGAGAAAATCACTTATGAGTGAAGGAGATGCATCTTCTATATTTAACAAACAGTAGTAATCTAACATGTGTATGATAAGTTATTATTGAAAGAAAATACGACCCCTCTGCACCCAAGGGTGTGGCCTAGCGGCCAATAAAGTGGGTTGAGCACCATGAGGTCTCAGGCTCAAATCCAACAGAGACAAAAACACTAGGGGATTTCTTCCCATCTATTCTAGCCTTAGTGGACAGAGTTACTTGGTACCTGTTGTTGGTGACAGGTATCCAGTGGAATTAGGTGATGTGCGTGGAAGTTGACCTGGACACTACGGGGTCGTTTGGTTTGAATACAAGTTATGCTGGGATTAGTTATCCTGAGATTGTTTTTTATTGACTGTTTGGTTTGTTGTACTAAAACTATTATGCATGGTATACTTTTTAAGAATAAGTTGTTTGTTTACAAAAATACCCTCCATTTTATTTAGGTTTTATATATGTATTTTTTAATAGAGTTTTAGTTATTTACTTTTAAAAATAAAATTACGTGAATTTCAATTACGTAATTTTGTTTGACAAATTTACTTGAAAGTGCTTCTGGGAAAAGCTTCTTTTTTCATCTTTTGAAAAACAGCTTTTGCTACTACTCAAGATTCAACAACACATATTTTTTTCCTAAAAGCTTAGCCAAACACCTCAACGCTCTAAAAATAAGCACTTCTGGCTTCACAGAAGCTTGGCCAATCCTATTTAACTTCTGCTTCTTCTATAAAGAGGATCCAGAAATAAACTTTCTTTCTATTTTAGCTCCTTTATTATGTCCTGTTCCAACCGAAGCTAACATGACATTCTGACTTGTAACTGAAGTGACGATACGGCAAAAGCCCAAGACACAGACCACAACAATCACAAGAGTTCACATAAATAAATCTTTGTTTTGAGATGATAACATTGTCAATCAAGAAAATATCACATGAAATCTTATTCAGAGTAACATGCATCTCCAAATATTATCTTCTTCCTTTTCCTTTTTTACCATTCGAATTACTCTTTTATGGTTTTATTTTTCTTGTAATAACTCAAGAATGAAAAGAAAAGACAGGAAAAGCATCAGAAACCTCAAGGGTAACATGCTTCGAGTTATTCTCACCACCTTTAAGTCACAATAGCATTAGCATGTAAAGGACACACTACTCTAGGAAGCAGTTACTTACATATTGACATGGGAAGTATATCACTGCATAAACTTGTTGAGGTGATACCAGTAGTCTTTGTTTTAATGTATCATAGCTTTGCAATTCAATGTATCATAGCTTTGCAATTCAAATATTTTCCAGTATAGAATGAAGGCTTGAAACCCGACGGCGGAACAATGGTTCTAGCCTGAAAGTTGGCACCCCAGTCTGCCACCTGTTTGTATCATACATCTCACTCCATGCCTGTACAATCTCATCAACTTTGAACCCTGGAATAGAACAGGTGCAATATGTTAAAGAAAATCACTCAAGAGAAACATAAAAAGACCAGTTAACAAATATCTCACTCATATTTTACCTTCGAGAGCAGTTTCATTGGAACAGTGGTTCTTTATCATGACTGCAATATCAGAATGTGATGCTCCAGCTAGTTCAAACTTATATACTGCAACATCTAGACATTCTTCCCAGGTTGGTAATCCTATCTTAAATTCCACCACGGAACGTTCGTAGAGCATGGTTCCCCATAACAGGTAAATCTGAGACCTCATGTTTTCAGTCTGCTCTTTAGTTTCTTCAGATGATTTATCTCTAAGTATACCCTCCAAGCCCCTTTTGTACAATTGAGCTTTATATTCCTCATATTTCGAGAGTCCATTTAGATGTTGTTCTTCCATCTCTTCCCACATTTCCATCCCTCTGTTGATGCTATCCTCAGCCTTGTTGTATAGCTCCAAGATCTCTGCACATGTCCCTGTCTCTAATTCTACTTTACTCCCAACCAAATAGTACCATGAGAGTTTTGCTTGTTCAAACTGCTGCTGACCGAGTGCAAGAAGGCTTTCGTAGAAATCTGGCTTGACTCTAAGAGCTTCTTCATACCTCATTTCTGCAGTTTCATATTCTTTTTCTGCCCATTCATATGCAGATTTAACCTGCTCCGACACCGTCTCCCCAGAACCCTCTTCTGTGAAAAATACTTCTTTTCTTGCTCTAGACATGTGTACATTTCCCCAGTTAAACAAAGACAAAGCTGCCATCTCTTGGAACTGAGCTGAAGCAATGTCAAAAAGCTCTTCTGCTTCTTCATTTGTAACTGTGTCCTCCATAGCTTCTGAATATAATTTCATTCCTGTCTCATGAAGATCCAGATACGAGTCACAATCAACTCCAACATGGTTCTTGAATAGCCTTGCGAATTGGACAAACCAGTTCTCAGGGCAAATTGGCCCTTTATTCAGTTCCCCATCCTTTTTTACTATAGTTGATCTGCAGATGCTCGATTTCTCATCTTCTTCAACCCTCAAATACATAGGTTCTTTATCTGGACTAACTTCTTTGATGTAGAGTCTTAAAGAACCTTGAAGATCAACAGATGATTCAGCCAACCTGAGCTCATCAGTAGTTGTAATAGTTACCAAATCACCTTCTTGATCCCTGTACTTGATAAGTGCACCCTTCAAATTTGGAAATCGATCTAGAACTATGTCTCTCACAAGTCGAATACTGCAACCAACTGGTAACTGTGCCCATCTTATATCCTCTCCAAGAATCAACTTCACTGTTCTTGTCATCGTTTTTTCTCCCTGGACGGTTCTCTTCTCCTCCACTACCACCTTGTCCTCGGCCTTCTTTTCTTCGACTCCATCAATCTTCGTTTCCTTAATCTCAACTATCCTCTTTCTATCAAATTTATTGTTCTTCTTCTCCTTTTTCATGTTATCCTTCACAACATTGGCAGATTCTGGAAGGGGTAAGACTAACTTTTTATTTTCAACTTTAAGTATTTCTTCTATTTCCTTTTTAACCTTGTCTGCAATCTCTAAAGCAGTCAAATTGTTAGGTTCAATACTCAAGACATGGTTTACATCTCTTAAAGCTAAATCAAGCCTATTCAATGATTCATAACACTTTGCTCTCTTCAACAAAGCTTTGCTATACTTGGGAGCAACTTCAAGTGCCAAGTTACATTCATTTATAGCTCTTGGAAACTCGCTACGCCCCATTTGCATGTAGCAACTAGCCAAGTTGCTATGCAAATAGGCAACATCAATATGGTTCCTAGGAAGCAATTTGAGTGCCTTCTCATACTTCAACATGGCTCCCTCGTGATCGCGTTTCTGAAAGAACCTGTTCCCTTCTTCCTTCAGTTCTTTAGACATCTTGATAAACACAGCTGTGTCTTCATCAAATGCTTTTGATTTATGCTTCACATCTCCATCATTTGACTTTGATTTTACATTACTTTTCTTCTTCCCAGTTGGCTTCCCCATGGTTTGTCACTCCAATAAGCTAATCTAATTAGAATAGCCCCAAAATCAACTTATAATTTTGTCCTGAAAATCAATAAATAACTATAACGATGCTGCAGAATCATCGAAAATAATGAAATAAAGACCAAATCTTTTCAAACATGTTCATGGCTAATGATCATCAAACTCAATTGTACAGATGTAATTTTGATTTATGGAATTAGATATGCCTTGTTGAAATGTAACCTAAATTTGAAAGGGAGAAAAAGAAAATTAGATTACCTTCAATACACGATGAACACGCTCTCCCAACAAAAAGATCATATGAAAGCTTCTCCTTCACTTTTTTTAGAACGTATCGCTATCTTGAAATAAAAGATTATCCTTGATTCATATATATAGTCGATCGATAACAATTAATCGATTGATATATATGGAAGAGAAAAGGAAATATTGACAAATAAAGCAAATCTGCAATGATTGTTTGTTTGGATTTGTTTTCTTTTCCTTTCTCTTCCATGTTTGTTTCTACGTTTCATGTTCTCTTTTTTTGCAAGACGTGCCCACCATAATTTTGAACAAAACATTATGAGGACCCTCTCGATTTGGTTTTTTAAATTAATTGTTACAACAGTAATAATTGTTTTAGAAAATATTAGTTGGAATTTTGATTATAACTTCAGAAAAAAAAATCCATTAATGTTGTAAAATATTGTGTATGCAAAAATTACAAATTAAAAATTGATCCACGGTATATTTATGATCAAGAGCAAAATTCATAAATGTAAAATTCTGAATCAGTATTTTTATGATGCCAGAGTTGTGTTAGAATTACAAGAAACCCAAATGATTTAGAAAAATGATGAAAAGGATCCTTAATCTATAGAAGGTGGGCTATATTGGTCCTTAATGTATACCTATTAACAGAATTTTTATTTTGTATTTACTTGTTTTTTATTAATTATATTTTATCTTTTTTTTTATAGCTCTATCTTATACCCTATTTTTCTAGTAAATTTATTCTTTAAATTACGTATGTATAACGTTATGTAATGCCAGAAAAAATGATATAGTTTATCCAAACATTATATTCATTAAAATAATATAGAAAATTATAATATAATAAGATATATTATGAAACAATATGTAACCGCCATTTAAATTGAGTGTTAAGAGGATGATGGTTGTGGGAGGCCATTTTCCTATTAAGTAAATATGTATTATTAGTGCTCTGTGTGGAATCATATAAATTTCAACTGCAAATTCCACGAGAAAGATGTCCAGCCATATCTGAATCAACAACATCTTGGTACAAACCTTTTATTGCTAAAATGTACTTCAAAATCCACTTCACAATATTTCAGTATTTTGTACCAAGATTTGACATGATGAATCTACTCACAACTTTCACTGCCTAGAAATATTTTGTACATATTGTCATGATAAGTCGTAACTGGTGCTCAATGTCTTTAAGTTGGAGTTAATTTTAGGAATAACAAACATAAAAATCATATTAGCGTTCTATAGTTGCAATTTTGCTATTTGCGCTCTATAGCAAACTAGCTATGGAGCATTTGATTCGTATAAATCGCGACGATTTGTATAAATCAAGCGTCTGTGTCTATGAAAATTGTGCTTTATATGTATATGTTCTTTATGTTAGGCTAGAGTGGCGAGCGAGATTAGGAGAGATGCAAGCGAGAGGGCAGATAGTGGAGAGAGATGAATTGTAAATGTATATCGGTTAGATAATTGTATATATGTAACTAGTATGTATATGTATCAATGATTGTGCTTGTATATTTGCATAAAATTTGAATTTGTATACGATCGAATCGAGTTAAAACATTTGTATTTGTATTTGTATATCAAATATCTCTCGCTATATACAAATACAAATTATACATTGTATTTGTATAATTTGTGTTTGTATAAAGCTGGAGAGAGAAAGACAAAAGAGAACTGAGCAGATGAAGATTTGTATTAATACAATTTTAAGTGTATAGGATGGAGAGGCATGTATTTGTATTTGTATATGCAGTCTCTCTCGCTTTATACAAACACAATTTATACATTTGTGTTTGTATAAAAGTGAGAGAGGCAAGGGAGAGAACTGAGAGTGGTGAGCGAGATTCAGGGGAGATAGGCGAATAACAATGTGTTTGCTGTGAATTGGAATTAAATGAAATTGTAGCTATAACATTTATTTTGAATTAATAGTTTGCTATAATGCACAATTTTCCCTTAACTAAATTTTTTAATCAAAACTTTATTCCAACAAATCTTAAATAATTCAAAAGATATATCGAAATATCTAAACAATTAGAAAATGATGCCAAATGTGAACAACCATAACCCTACTAAAAACATGTTAATGAAGCGTTAATGGTTCAACAACGTTGATGGTCTAAAACAAAATCATAATAAGAGTCCTTGAATATTTTTTAAAAAAACTTTGTATATATTCTTACTTTAAGTTATTCTTACTTTTTGAGATGTGAAATTACTAAAAATTTGTTATAATCAATTTTCTCTAATGATTTTTTTTTTCAATTAATCTCTCTTATAGGAACAACACTAAAACGTTTGGTTTCCATTTTTTTGGTTAAAAGCATCGCATAGTATAGTGATAGTGCCCGGTCCAGAGATGATTGTCACTATACCGATACCGACTCCGTCCTTCTTAATGGCCTACTTCCAGATTCAGACATATCTTCCACGTAGTTAGGCAAGTTTAAACAGGAGTATGCATCCTATGAGGGTATCTGTTTGAGACTTTGTCAATCTTTGTTAGGATTTTATCAATTTTAATTTTAAAAAGTTGTTTCCGAATATTCAAATGTTAATAAAATTGTCAACATTATTTAGTAAGCAATATATGCATTTGAAAACAATCAAGTCGTTTCTTCTGATTGAGTATAATAAATATTATCTTCTATTTATGTCATTTTTCTTAACACTTACCATTTGAAAATAAGGCTAAAAAATGTATATCTGAGGAACATTATATTTTGAAAAAAAATCGTGGTTAAGGTAATTGTTTTTTTTTCTCATGTTACTTTCTCAATTTTTTCCCCAGTAAATAATTTTTTTTTAAAATAATCATATGCTTTCAATTGATCAAATCTATTTTGAAAATAATAATTTGTAAACCTACTATTATTGAAAAAAACAAGGCCCCAAATAGTGTTTGCTATACCGGCTTCACCCAAGAGCCTACACTTTCTACTGGAGCACTAAGGGGAATGCACAGGACATAAGTTTTCTGGCTAATACCCAAAAAATGCTGGAAAAATTCTAACTGAAAAGAAGAAGAAATTCCACGGTGAAGGGCGGAACTTACCAAATCAACTTCTGAAATAAAGCAATCTAACTTGTAATCTGCTCGTCTATGAAACCTGCGTCTACATTGGCATAGGTCAATGTAGATTCCAAAAACAGAACGTCAGTACACTACGTGAGTCTCAACGTTCTCCTCACTAAAGTCAAACCGAGACCTTAAATAAAAACATGTAGTTAATGAACAAATATGAAAGAAAACAAATTATAGAAGTAATTCATCCCAAGAGAAACATGAAAACATCACTAAAACTTCTAGGTTAGTTCATTAATTTGTTCTTTTTTTTCACTTTCTTGTGGCTAACTATGGCAATTAGTTACCCTTTATATAGTTTCCTTCAGTTTTGTGATTCCCCACATATTTTAACTTGTCACTAACATATCAGCCATATACAGGAGCAAAATAATGTATGAATTTATAAATTTCTTCAAGTAACAACAATGAGTCATCATAAACCTGTCAAACTTCTTGGTGCTTGTTTCAAACCATAGAGACTCTTCTTCAGTCTACAGACCAGATTTTTCTTATCTGCCTCTATGTACACTTCAGGTTCTTACATATACTAGTCTTTCATCTTGATCTTCATGGAGAAAGGTTGTCCTTACGTCTAAATGCTCAAAATACAAATGATAATAAATCTTATGCCACAACAATACTAAACGCAATTCAAATAGTAGGTAATTCAACCACATGGGAGAAAATCTCAGTAAAATCCATACATGCCTTTTGTTGGAAACCTCTTATTACCAAACCTTAGCTTGCCATATGCTTCTGTTTCACCCTGTAACCCATTATTCTGACTTGTCTTTCCCTTCCAGTAGTTTGACCAAGTCCCAAGTTTGATTTATGTGGAGTGAGTATACTTCTTCATCCATTTCCTAAATTCACTTGGACTTGCTATCAACCTGCATTGTCTTATCAAAACAGCTAATCTCACTGCCATTTGTTAGTAACAAGTAATCAACAGAAGGAGAATATCATTTGTTTGGAAACCTATGTCTTACATACCTTCATAGCATAATTGGTGTCTTTATTGTTTCTTGCTCGTCCTTCTCATGTGGTTTAGCCTATTCAACATTGTTCTCATTGCCAGCCTCTCACACCTTCTTACTGGTGCATCCGAACCCTCCTCTTCACATGTCTGAACTATCTTAATCTAGCTTCCCTCATCCTGTCAGACTTATCTTGTATAATTTCATTTCTAATCTTATCTCTCTTAGTATGCCAAACATCCAACTGAGCATCCTCATATCTCTACTTTATCTTCTAAATATGTGTGTTCTTGATTGGCATGCGCTCTATCCTTATACAACAAAGTAGGTCTAACCATCACTCTATAAAACTTACCTTTAAGCCTTTAGTGACACATTCTTATCACTTAGTATGCCAAATGTGAACCTCCACAATTCACCCACCCACTCCAATACAATGTGTGAATCATCGTTACTTCCACCTCCACTTCATGTGTTACATCACTGAACTTGCACTTCATGTACTTTGTTTTAGTCTTGCTTGATTTGAAAGCTTTAGATTTGGGGCTTGTCTCCAAACTTTCAACCTACAGCTAACTCCTCTACGTGTTCGTTAATCAATAATATGTGATTAGCAAATAACGTACATTACAACACCTCTCCTTAAATATACCATGTTAATTCGTCCTAACATACTAAGGGTTGATCCCTAGTGCAACCCCGTCATGAA